AAACCTTCGTCAAAATCTCATTCATTTTTTCGTCAATGACAAAGATTCACCTGGTAACAAAAAGTGTAATTTAGTACATTCTGTGTCACATTATTGTTATCCAAGTAGCTCAGGACGTGGATACTTGTTCACTAAAATGGATCCATGTAATTGTTTTGCTCAAGTCATTTAATTTTGTTACAAATTTAGCTAATAAACAAATCTGCACATGTTCGTCACTGACACCACTGTCATTGACAATTGACATGGTTTGCCTTGACTATGACTGTTAGCTAAAATGAGTGACCAAAGCAGAATTGTCAATATCACCGTGTACTGTCGAGATTTTGCAGCACTGGTTATAATTGCTTATCTTTTGCCAGATACGCGTATTTCGTCTACTACTTGCTGACTTCATCAGTGCCAAGTGGTGTTGAGTACTTGGCACTGATGAATTCTGCAAGTAGTAGACGAAATACGCGTATTTGTCAAAAGATAAGCAAGATATTTGAAATTGATTGCACATGTGTGGATGCTTATTTTGAATTTTTAAATATGAAAAATGAATTCAACTAAAGATATTGAATGTCCCCTAATTGTATGTTTGTTTATTTTAGATTTTTTTTTTATTAATTTCATTTATAAGGCTTAACCGAATTAACTTTACAGAGCCGAGGATGTTTGTTCACTATACAATACATCTTAAAACTATAGTCAAAAGGTACAACACAATAAACATTTTATCTTCCGCTATCTAATAAACCTCCTCCACCAGAACGGGAACCGCTTCCAGTGGTTTCATTGTATGGCAGATTCGCCAACGAGGGTCAGAGCGCTTCCATTGCAGCAATAGCGTCCAACAATGGACGCAAACGCACTCACACACTCATCACGAAACGGTTGCTTTCCAAAGTCGCGACGCATCGACTGAAAGAACTGCTGATGAAGAACAATAAGGAGGACAACACAATGGTTAAACGGCGCCGGTGGTGTAGTGGTAAGCGTGATTACCTCTCACCCCAGCAGGCCTGGGTTCAATCCCAGTCGGCGCCGCCGGGATGTTCTGAGGCATAACATCTCTGATCACGCCTTCCTTCGGATGGGAAGTAAAGCCCGTTGGTCCCCGGTTCATGAGTTGATGGGTCGATAGGTAGGGTCCAGGTGTGGGAGCTGCCTTCCTGGCACGTCGGTAGCATTGGTGCTCAGCACGGAAAACAAGATCGACAGAAAAAAAAAAAAGACAACACAATGGTTGCTGCCGAGTAAAAAGACGATCGTGTGACACACATTGAGAGTGGTCTGCTTCTGTCGACAGCCGAGTGAACACTGAGAATAAAATTTATAAATCAATAATTTTGTAATTACCATTAAGCAAAATAAATAATCTAGTAGTCCTACGTCAAAAATACGGTCATGCTTGGGACACAACCCTTATTTTTTTCTACGGTGTTGCCATCTAGTCAGTTTAGGCACAATATTACCAAGCCGAAGGTGGTGGGTTCGATTCCCGGTAATTTTCTCAACTTCCCTGGGAATAGGTTATCAATGTGTTTGGCACTCAATATTTATTCAAATTAATGCTTTGGTTGACATAGGAAACTCTCAATTAATAACTGTGCTTTAAAGAGCACTAAATTAAGAGCAAGCACAAGCTCGTGCGGCAATAATGCATCAATGTCAGGAAGAAACTGGTTTTCATTAATTGTAGGGGTATCTCGACGGGATTTTATTTTCAATTTTTTTTTTTTACGTAGGACTACGTCTTTGATTTCTACATGGGGGTACACTTTGTGAAAACCGAAAATGAAACATGTAACAAATTAAGAAAGATTTTGAACGTTAATAACTCAGCTGCCCCTGGTCCAATTTCAATAATTTTATCACCAATCGATCAGAAATATGGCTACGAATCGATAAAAATTGAGTAATATTTTGCATACTCATCGCCATACTCAGAACCACACGCTCCCAACGATCACACCACTGAGTGGTGGTGTTCGGTCGTCGAAATTAGTAGCAGCAGTAGCAGCAGTAGCAGCAGTAGCAGCAGTAGCAGTACTTTCGGCGTGTGGCGTTGAAAATTGTTCTCCAGTAACAACGAAAGGCTGCCTGCAAGCAGCGAGCTGCAGAGCCCACATAAGCAACCATCAAAGGAGGAAGAAGCTGCACCGCTATGCTATGGACGGAATCAGTAGCTCTTCGTGAGTCGCTGCGGGTCGGTCATCTATGCCAAGCGTGTCACCCTCGCTCCAAACGACATACAGCTCGACAGCCTCATCTGTGTTGAACACCCAGCTCAGCATTACTCAACCATCACTACAAAAAGGTCCTTTTGAGGGCCACCAAAATTTGTTAAAGAGTATTATTTGGACATTGGTCAAGGTCATCAGTTCCCGCAAGCAGCTAGCTATCAAGGCTCAACCTGGTCTCTATAGAAGGTGTGGAATTGTAGGCCCGAATGTATTGGTGAGATTAATCATCGTCCGACCATTTTCCAGAACACGCTGCTAGGAAGTGTTAAAAATCCATATAGAATTTGAGAGAAGTGGGAATAATTCGCTTTGGGTGTATATTCAGTCCCCAGAAAGCCAATAAAATCAAATTTGTGAGAAAATTAGCTCTCACGAGTTCAATCTCTCGAAGTCCCTTCTTTTCTACATATTCTGCACAAACGATACTTTCCGCCCCGCTCCATTCATATAATTTGGAAGGGAATCCTGTGAGGGGTGAATTGAATACACTTTAATACCAAAATGCACAAAACTTAAAAATTCATAAATAACAAAAAAATCAAAATACACCTTTTAAGTCGGGTAGATGAATCGAAAATACTCAAGTTGACAGTCCCTTGGATTCTCTTCATCAACTTTCTCTTTGAAATAAATACTATAAATTTGATACGCTTACAAATAAAAAACGGAAAGGAAAGAGTTAAGATAATTGATAATTGATCAATTAAAAGAACTAAATGTTCACATTTTTTCCGTCCACTAGCGGTCCTACGTCAAGCTTCGGTTCGTGCCCCTAGGCACAGATCCTTTTACTTTTTTTGAAGATTTCAAGCAGGTTTTAATGTGCAGTCAACTCTATTTTGAATGTATCGAGTTATAGAATTACCGAGTTGAGGATTAAAAGGCCGCATAGTTAGTGGATATCGAGTTATGGAGAGAACTAGTATACAAATTATTTGAAATTGTCAAACATGATGCTTTGGAGATTAATAAATAAGTTAAAAATATCTCATGGTTTAAAAGAGAGGTTTGGCTTGAGATTCGATCAATAATTCAAAATGGTGTCTTAAAATTTTTGTATAGTGCATTTTGCCTACTTTTTACTTATTTCTTCCACTCCTTGTTAAATTTATTCACTGATTCTGAACATTTAAAGTATGGCAGAAAAAAAAAAACTGTTTTTGTTTGGCGTAAAAGGATTGAGTTTTTATTTGTTTAGAAAGGTTTTGATTTTTCAAGTCAAAATTAGCTAAACTTTAAAGTAAAATTTCTCATCAACTACACGATTTTTTTAATTATAATATTTTACAAAAAAAAAATTGGTTCCAAGATTTAACAGCTACAATTTCGAAAGAATTCCCTTGCATAATCGCTGATTTCAAATTTGGGACTGAACAAAATTTATAAGACAGCATGTTGTTCTCATGACCATTACTCGAGATACACAGATAGAAAGTTTAAGTGTGTGCCATTTTCTACGAATACACTCTTTATTAAACTACCCCCTACGAACGTTCTTTGCTGATCCATCTAGAATCCCTGAACACTCACCGCGACACTCTAAGAGCTTTTTATAGCTGATTTTCTGCTTAGTAGAGTTAATGCCCGGTTGAGCAGTACCAAGCCAAACGACGAATCAGAAAAACTCAACCGCCTCCGATTTGCATAAAACTTTGCACCCAGTAAACAATATTTGAAAATGTGAAAATTACACAAACAACTTTCTAACAGGAAGCTTAAAAATATTACCCAAAGTTGATGTTTCAGGATTTTTGTATTTTTTTTTAAGTACCATTGCATTGTTTGAAATATTTCAGAAGTTTTCATTTTTCATGAGCTTTGGCCGAAATCTTGCAAAAATGTGGATGATTGCCCATATCTAACAATTATGATTGCCCATAACAAAGAGTTATGTCAGTGAATAGTTATATCAAAAATCTACAGAGAACGTTCTACAGTGTTTCATCGGCTCTTGATTCTCGCTGTCGTGAGGTACTGTGACGCAGTATTTGCGTGGTGAACGAACCATTAAACAATTAAGTTCACTTTTGATCAATAACAACATTTCCATTATAAATAAAATTCCCCATTATTACACACAAACAAATAATTCAACTTAATTCACAATCGATTGAAACATTCCAACAGTATTCATGGAGAAACAAGTACAAATATATGTGTATAAATGCATTTTTATTCCCTTCTATTATTTCTCGGTAACACTCAAATGGCTTACGACTCCAACCACTTTCATTCACAAAATCTCGCATCTGGCACATCGTGTCGTTGCCCTATCCCCTCCCGTACTAGCAAATTAGGTGAAATCACTTATTTACGGTTGCACTCTTTCTCTCTATCCTCTGCTAGACAGATCATTTACAGCCACTCCACTGTTGATCCTGGCTCAAACACATGTTGTTATTACGAGATCGTGAAAATAAACAGATCGCTCCGTGTCTATTTTGGCATCCACATGCTACATATACACACTATTCACCAACAACCACCCTGTCTGCCGTATATGATCCGCTGCCACCGTCTGGTTGTCCTCAACCGACCTGAACCTGGCTCAACTTCAATACCATCGCAGTTCACTTGATCTCCCGTCGTCTCTTCCCATCCCCTTTTTCACGTGAATAATTGGTCAATACATATTCTTTCGCGAAGAAGAACCGATATGAAACAGCACTCGCACATATAGGTATTTCAAGCATCGCCTTTCATCTTTAGAATCTAGAGACACATGTGGCGAGAGAGCATAAATAACACATACGGCGCCTCCATATGTACCTTCGCACCTTCACGCAGCTCTCAGGAAAACCAACTGCTTAGCTCTCCCTCGTAAACTATCAATGAATTGCATACACAAATTCACGCACCGGGTTCCACATGTGATCCGAAACGGGGCGCGCACACGTTCGCGGAAAAAAACACAGATAATTCACCCTCAAATCTCGCAGAAATTCGTTGGTGGACCAACCCACGCTGTACCCTCTTACAACAAACGAGCGTACTTGTTCGGTACCACACCGAGTGGCGACGACGATGGACGGTCAACTGACGAGATCCACTTTTAATATGTGATTTGCTTCGAACTGAAATAAGCACCGACAGGGCGTCGTGTCGTGTGAGAAGCCCCAGAACACCCAAGTGGCAAACCCTGCGCGGCCGTGTAGGCCTATTAAAATAAATATATTCGTACAAACGACATGGCAAGGAGAGAGCTCAGTTTTTTAAATGACGCTCTCTCTCTCTCTCTCTCTACGGATTGCAATCAACACAGCAAAGGGCAATACCAAAGGAGAACCGCCGCACAGACGTCACCTGCATACCAGGATGCAAGGAATTAGTGGGTCAAGGTGCTACGGTGCTACGATGAATCAAAATTCTAACATTCAGAGTCAACGTAAAACAAATGGAACAAAACTTAAATCGAACTCAAAATTTCGAATCTTATCAGAAATTACTTGTGGTTCATAAACGCCCACATTACGGTACGACCAAAACACTCACCATCGTCCCCTTTCATCACACAGTTTGCCATACAAAACCGGATAAAAGCGAGAGCAAGAGAATCCTAACAGTGACCGTCAAGGTGTATGGGAGACATGAAATCCTAGCCATATGTTACATGCCTGCACCTACCTCTCAGGCCATCCGAGCAAATATGATCGTCGACAAGTGCACGACTAATGAAATTAAAATTTCTATGACATGTTGCGAGAGTCAACCCGTTGCTGATTCAATGTACGGTGTACACTCTGTTATGCGGTAGATGGATGTAGTACGAAGATGTAGGTATATCTGTAACTGGTAAAAAGGTGAAAGATGGATGGGGTATGGATAACAGTTGTCATGGTACGACACGGAGATTTATTAGAATCACAGTTTGGCCACGTAGGCGGAGCAGCAACGACTACGACGACGACTACGATGATGATGATGTGGAAAGTAAAAGTGCTTTCCACTATGATTGATTTGGAATGGCTTTCGTCTGGTGGTAATAAACGGGTTAACAAATGTTCGGCCGCAACTGGCTGGATGTCTTTTCGGATTAGTTCCGGATGAGATGTTCGGGGGCGTTTAAATATCTCCTCTAATAGAGAGATTTGGAGAACTTATTTTAAAAAGGGACCGTTCATGAATTACGTAGACAGTTTTGGAACCCAGCCTCCTGCTAAGACAACCCTTAATTGCTACAAATTGAAAAAAAAAATCCACCCCGCTCCCGCCATTCCCCCTCAGACTCTTGACTAATATTTGTTTTCAGTACGATCCAGATCTGGAAAAAATACCGCACCACACTTCAACAGAAAATTTCATTTACGATGGACACGCTTGGTTGTTTACTACAGAACAATCCCAAACAACAAAGATCGGTGCATAGGCAATGATGCATGTGACTTTTTGTCATGAAATCTACTGATGATACTTGTTTGTCTCGCTAATTAGTATTGTTATTTGGATGGTTCGGTGATTGTTTTATTAATTTAAAAAATACCTTGATTTAAAGCTTTTCGCAAGTTCGTTAGGGAACCTGCGTTGGACCTGCTTCTATTTCGACTTTTATTTTGATATTTCAAGTTTGATACCGAACTACCGGTGATTTGTTTTTATCTGGAAATGAATGAAATGAATGAAATTTTCCTGTAGATAACATTTTGAGTATACACGACGTAGTGTATCAACGATAAACATCAGCAATATCTATAATAACTAAGGTTGCAAAGACTCATTTCAGCTAAAACAATGTTTTTCTAAATTATGAAATAATTAGATGACATGATCTAATTTTGAATTGGTAGGATACAAGAAGAGGTTGCAAAGAATGTGTTTGACATATTAAACCTGTTTATTTCACTTCATGAGAGTCACAATCAGCGATTTTTCACAAACTCACTCACTCACTCACTCACTCACTCAGCGATCAGCAAATCGCTGATTGTGACTCATAGAAAGCAAAATTTACAGGTTTTATGTTTCCAACGCATACTTTGTAACCTCTTCTTGTAAGTTACAAGTAAAACATGCCATCAAACCATCTTTTGGTTTTATTATTCCGAAAAACATTATTTTAGCTGAAATGAGTCTTTGCAACCTTGAATAACTATAAGTCACACTTCGGAACTTAGTGCTGCTTGCGACATATAGGGTGTCCCAGAATGTCTAAGCATGACTTTGGAACACCCCTGCTTGTTTCATATAAATTCGAAAAATTCGGTAAAGAGGCTATAGTTTGGCAAGCCATTTGTGAGTGTGTTTGTGTCAACGGATACAATGGCAACCGATGTTCACGTGCATGAGTGTTTAAACAAGCGTCTGTTACCCATGATCCGCACACATGACGCCTCAGTACAGTTTTGGCCGGATTTGGTTTCGGTTAATTACTCCAAAGACACGGTGGCCTGGTATAAAACCAACAAGGTCCAATTCGTACCAAAAAAGATGAATCCGCCAAACTGTCCCCAGGCTAGGCCAAACTTGTTGGGCCCTGACCAAAGCATATTTGCAAAAAAACATGTAAAGGCAGTGGATTTTGTTAAAAAGTTTGTGAAATACTGGGAAAAGTATCCCAAATTGTTGGGAAGGCATCTGTGCTGAAGCTAAGGAGTAGCGTGAGATCAATAATCCACCCCTTGGCTTACGACTGGTTGGATCTCGGATTTTCTACGTTAAACTGTAAGAGAATACTATAAAGAGCATGAATACGAAATAAAAATCGAATTTGCTGTACACAGAGTAACGTTATCGTTTTATTTAAATCGTGCTTAGACGTTCTGGGACACCCTATAATGAAATTCTATAGATAGATGAGATGGTTTTGAGACCTTCTAATTATTGTTCTTCATGCCAAAACGCCCACTTGAATATTTCCAAGCAATCAATACTAGTGGTGCCGGAGGTGCAGTGTTAAGCGTGGCTTCCTCTCACTCCAAAGGACCTGGGTTCAATTCCAGTCGGCGCGTCCGGGCATAAAATCTCTGATCACCTTCCTTCGGAAGGGAAGTAAAGCCGTTGGTCCCCGGTCCATGAGTTGATAAGTCGATGGGTAGGGTCCAGGTGTGGGAGCTGCTTCCCTGGCGTCCGTAGCATTGGTACTCAGTACAGAAAACAAGATCGACGGAAAACAAATCAAGGAAAAATTGTAATCATGACTGATATGTCAATGATAGTTTGATACAGTATTATCCTGATTGTTTTTTTGTTTGGCACTCTACTAGGATTTACTAAACCGTCTTTTGTGATCAGCTACTGGTGTTTAGTAGGCCAAAATAGATAGGCCATAAATCAGCAGCAACGAGATCAATCATGAGTCTCTTCATAGCAATTTAATTATTTTTGGTTTAATTTAGTAAGATTTTAAAACTATAGTTTGTTACCAGTGTGTCATAACTGAAGAATTTTAGAAAGTATTTATGATAATTTTTGCATAGGAAAATTCACGTTTTTTTAACCCTACTGAAATAGAAGGCACAAGAAAGAGAAAGAGGGGTTGTGCTGTAGGTAATCAACAACCTTCCCGAAGGGAGGTACACTGATGGCCTTAGAATCAAGCACAAACATTTACAGGCGTGTGGGCTATTTGACTGTCTTCATTCAGGTAATTAAATTTAATTATCTAACCGAATTGGTTGAAAATTTGTAGGCAATCGTATCCCCTGCATATTTTAATTGAGAGTCTTTGAAGTTCTCTCTCTCTCTCTCTCTCTCTCTCTCTCTCTCTCTCTCTCTCTCTCTCTCTCTCTCTCTCTCTCTCTCTCTCTCTCTCTCTCTCTCTCTCTCTCTCTCTCTCTCTCTCTCTCTCTCTCTCTCTCTCTCTCTCTCTCTCTCTCTCTCTCTCTCTCTCT